CAGTTCCTGAATTACCCGGACAGAACGCCAGCTGCTGCTACGAATCCTGCTGCAGCAGCATCTGCTGCTGCAGCCTCTGCCGCCGCAATGTCTGCTGCGGTTTCTGCTGCAGCTTCTGCTGCAGCTCTTGGCGCCGGCATTCCTGTTGCTGCAGCGGCAGCAGCTGCAGCAGCAGCGGCTGCTGCTGCTGCTGCAGAGGGCGCACCAGCTGCAAGCCCGCAAGCTGCGCTGGTGTCTTCTGCAGAGGGCTGGAGAGAACAGGGCGGCTGGTGCTACATTCCTAAAGATAGGATGCCTCACTTCATTGGCAGCAGCAGCAGCAGCAGTAGCAGCAGCAGCAGCAGCAGCAGGGACACGGGCAGCACCAAACGGCAACCTTGGTATCAGGCGCAGCAGCGATGGCAGCCCCCGCCACCCTCGCAGCAGCACCTGGCGCAACAGGAGCAACAGCAGCATGAACAGCTGCAGCAGCAGCAGCAACAGCAGCAGCAGCACATGCAACAGCTGCAGCAGCAGCGCCTTAGTCCGCCGGAGCAGCACCACCCTGTGTCAGTGCCCATGTGGTCTGGTGGAAGCGGACAAACAATTGAAGCAGCTGCAGCAGCTGCAGCAGCAGCAGCAGTTGCAGCAGCAGCAGCAGCGCAGACGCAAGGCTCTGGCTGGGGCTCAGGCCTTTCTGCTGATTCTGGTAGGACTGGGCTAGATAAGCCGTGGGAACAGTTGCCGGGACAGCAGCAGCTGCTGCAGCAGCAGTTGCACCTACTGCAGCAGCAGCAACAACATATTCAGCAGCAGCAGCTGCAGCAGCAGTTGCAGCACCAGCAACTGCAGCAGCAGCAAATGCAGCAGCAGCAGCTCCAGCAGCAGCAACTGCAGCAGCAGCAGCTTCAACAGCAGCAGCTCCAACAACAGCAGCTGCAGCAGCAGCATCTGCAGCAGCAGCACCTGCAGCAGCAGCACCTGCAGCAGCAGCAACTGCAGCAGCAGCAACTGGAGGAGCAGAGACTGCAGCAAAACCAGGCACAACAAGTGCTTCAGCAGCACGTTCACCTGCTGCAGCAGCAACAGCTGCAGCAGCATGGACGGCAGCAGCAGCAGCAGCAGCAGCACGTCCCTCATAGCTATGTCTCCCCTTCTCAGCGGCTCTTCTCACCCCGTGGTGAGGCTTTGGCTGCGCCGCAGCAACGGGAATCGGGGGCACCTGCGACACCTGCCACGCAGCAGCTGCCGCAGCAGCAGCAGCAGCAGCAACGGCGGCAGCAGCAGCAGCAACAGCGGCAGCAGCAGCAGGAGCTGAAAAGTGATAGGGAAGAAATGTGGCGGAAGTGGAAGACTGAAGGGGTTGAAGGCGGAGCGGCGCCCGCAGCAGCAGCTGCACCGGGTGCTGCTATCCCTGCAGCAGCAACAACAGCAGCAGCAGCAACAGCAGCAGCAGCAGCAGCAGCAGCTGCTGCTGCCGC